ATTATACATAAAACAATTTTACATTAAATTAAACACGAATTACGTGATTATCCCATTTTCTTTTTTTTTTTTTCAAAAATAGACTTACACCACTTTCAAAATAAATGAGATCTAATTGAATAAAATTGAAAACATTATCATATTAAAAATAAAATAATAGAAAAATAAATCTTCCGAAGTAATAATTAACACCCCAGTAGTACCACTCACCCGTGGATAAATCTATTGTTATATTTCAAAAGTTATATTTTCGTGTTTAACAAACTTGCCCCCCTCCCATGTGTCGATACTTTTTGACTTACACAGAAACACACACACACACACAGTCGTCGTATAGTCATCATCCAGAGAGACTTACTATCGTTTATCTTATACACATCCCTGAAAGTTTGCCTGTTTGTGAAAACTTTTATACAAAGGAAACGCAAATGCGGCGCACGTGTTACGAAAGTGAGTCCTGAAGTCAGCATGCGTCCATTGTTGTGATCGTTGAACGAACCGCAACGAATAAATCGACCGCAGCAGGGAAAAGAAACGCACCAATCCAAATATACCTCCTCCTCTTAGAAATGACGTTAACATTCCCGTGCACGTGTATATATATATATATATAAATGTATGTGTATGTGTTTATTCGATATGCGTATAAATAATCAAGCAAGGGGGAAATACAGCTTGTCGAGTTGGGGTTAAAACTTCGATATGAATTTTAATCGAAAATGTGTCTGAAGAATAATCGATATACAAATATAATTGGAAAAATAATATTCAAACTAAAAGTGTTTCGTTAATAATACATTTTTTTTTTGGTCTTTGTCTTATTTAATTAATTCCATACAAAAATACACATAGGTTGTTTAATGTTTAAATTAATACCAATCGAGTATAGAAAACTCTGTATAGTATTATCGTTATATCTTAAAATGCGGTTTAAATATATGCAAACCGCATTCCGTTTCCGTTTCTTCCCCCGTGTTTCATATTAAACTAGATTTTAAATTTCTATTCAGTCAACGAGAAAGTTTTATTTAACGAGTCCAATCAAACGAATCATTTATATATCGTTCATTTTTTTTTTATTAAAACGATGTTACCGTCAGAATTTTTGGAATGTATGGAAGTATTCCAATTTTTCAAACATTCTTGACCGATAAAAGTTCCGATAATATCAGGAAGTGACTCATAAAAAAAACAAAATTATCGTTGGTTGTATATTATTGTTACATATATCAAATAATTATTAAAGTTTTGAGATAAAAACGGGAAAGAAAGAAAGAAAGAAAGAAATTCGAGAAAATAATTCTAATCTCTTTCTCGCAGCTGTTTTCAAATCTAGGATTAGAAACATCCCCATCCCTTCTATTTCTTTTCTTTGGTTTCACGTCGAACAAGCTGACAATTTCATCTGTTTTCTATTAACGACAACTGAACTAGGAACGACAAAACTCTCTCTCTCTCCCCCCCCCCTTTTTTTTTAATTTACTTCCTCGTCATCCTCCACGTTTCCATGTGTTTTTCTAATTGCAAGAGTTCCGTGTTGTTTTTTTTTTTTTTTGTAAATCTATTTTATAACGGTAACTTAATTAGATATGACACGACACGACACGAGGAAAAAAGTTTTTCTTTTTTTTTTTTGTTGTTTCCATGAAATAGGATTTCCTATTTCATCTCATCATCGTGGCGTCAAGGGGTAGTTCTCATTTAAAAGGACAGGCTGCTAGTTTGTTTTATTGGTATATAATAATAAGTTCATCGAAACCAGTCGTTGCAATCTAGGAAAGTTGTTATTTCTTTTCATCCCTGTTAACTAGTCGAGATCGCGTATCTTTTCTATATAAAACTGGTTTCCTAAGATCCTTCCGTACTCTGTAATATCGCGATACACTTGTAAAGGTTTCATATTTATTCCGGTTTTATAAACTAGAAGGCAATGGCTCACACGAAGTTTCACGAAGCTCGTTTATGTGCAATATTAATCTCTCTCTCTCTCTCTTTCTTTTAATTACGAAAAACAAATTATTTTTGTATACTTAATACCAATTACACTTGAGAGTTTCGTGTAATCAGGTAAACCGTGTAGTACGAGACAAGGAAAACTGTGAAAAGTTAACATTCGTGTCTTACGTTAACTTAACGTTTAATTCGAATCATGATTCGTATAAATATTGAATTGGGCCAATAATGTAATGTCGGAATTTGTAATAGTATATGTTTAAATAAATAATACAAAATATATACGATACACTCTATTGTGAGATCAATTTTCTTATCATATTTGTAAACTTCCTTCTATTTCTTTTGCATCTAACGTTTATAATTTATATCAAGTTTAAGGTTTAATCATTTCATAATAATATATTTCTGTGTATAAGAATTTTGATATTGTTATAATATTGAGACAGAGGGGGGTAGATATTTTATATATTAACAAACAACAAACATTATTATTATTATTATTTCTTCTTCTTATCATATTTGTGAACTTCTTTTATTTCTTTTGCATCTAACGTTTATAATATATATCAAGTTTAAGATTTAATCATTTCATAATAATATATTTCTGTATATAAGAATTTTGATACGTTTTTCATTACAAGAAAATATCAATTGTTATAATATTCAGACAGAGGGGGGTAGATAAGGGTGATACGAATATTTCTGTAACTGATTGTAAATCTCTAATATAAAATAAAATAATATTCAGAAATTTATAATCTTATTCTTTGTGAGACACATTTCAATATTTTATATATTAATTAATAAACAAACAAACAAACAAACATTATTATTATTGTTTCTTTTCTATTAACAAATTCTGTCATTATTTGTTAACCAATTAAATGTCGAAAAAAACATTCATATCATTTTAGTTTGCATATAATATTGTCTCTCAGTTAAGATAGAAGATTTTCTGTATAATATTAAAAAAAGAAACATGCATATATGTATCTATATATATAAACATGCACATTGGAAATGGATTTACGCCTCCCCATTAATATATATATATATACTATTGACCATAATGTGTCCTATCAGCACGTAATCGCGTATTTACCTCGATAAAAGATTGTTCGCAAGAATAGACTCAGTCAGCATATAAAAAGTCTAGATTGTGTGTATCGAACTCTGGGGGGAAGGGAAGGGAAGGGATGGGGAAGGGAAAAGGGGGAGGACCTTAATGTAAGCGTGGCACAATTTCTTTTCAATAGGTCTACTCGTCATACTCAAATTATATTATTGGATTATGTTGAATTTTGTTCTGTTGATTAATTTAATTTTTTCTTTTTTTACCTCGACAATAGAATTGACTTTTGTCAATTTAATGAACGTTTTTGAATTGAGCATGCATTGGGTCAACGAGTATAATCAAATTGTGTGTTAGAAAATAAAAATAAGTATTTTTCTTAATGATTAATTTGAATGAAATAAATGAAACTGAAATTAATGTTATATTAACTGATTATAATATATCGAATAGGGTTCGAGTAGGATAACCTTGTTATATTTAGACAAATAATAAAGGATTCCTTTGAGTGTGTTCGATCGATATGTATTATCAATGTTCTCAGAAATATGTACAACTTATTTTCGTGATTGATGAGAAAAACATTTGTTAAAGTCGATCCTCCAATCTCGGTTTAATATTTTTTTTCTTTTCTTATTTTCTTAAATCAAAGTACGAATAAAAATGTAAGATAAACGATTTGTTTTAAAATAATTGTATCTATTTTCTCCCTATTATCACCAATTCTTCTTCTTCTTCTTCTTCTTCTGTGTTTTCTTTTTTTATGGTAAAAATTGAGCCGAAAAAAAAAAAGAAAAAAAATAATTTACAATTTTGCTATCACACGTTGGTAAACAAGAAGTATTCTTTACAAGATTGTATAAAGGTAACAGTAAAGATGATATATAAGTAGTTTGCTACGAGAAACATTAAAAGAAATAACCAAGTGATGTCTGAAGAAGACGACGACGACGACGACTACTAAAGCGAATGGCAACACAGACCGTTATCTCAAACATGTACATTGATAAACTTGAAACCGCAGTCCTATAGTACATACATACATATCTAAGGAATGTTTCGCATTAGATGGTTGAAAAGAACTGGCGTTAAAAAATGTTCAAGTTCTTTAACAACAAAAATTATAACAATTTCGAAAAGTTCAATTATATTTTAAAGATTTAACTCAAATCATATTGATCGAATCCTAAATTACACGACTGATGATATCAATCAATCCTATGAGATTTATACGGTATATACGTGTATAAATATTTTGAAGTGATAAAAAGTACTGTGTAATCGAAAGATATATAATATTTATAATATATTATATAAAAACAAATTGTTTTTTTTTTCTTTTTTTTCTTTTTCTTTTTCCAAGTAAAATCATCGAGTTACGTTTCGATAAGAAGAAAGAAAAATAATCAAAGACTATCGATCTCGTTTATCTTTAATCGATTAATTTCGTGCAAATGCTTAACGACACTTCTATCAATAATATAGACAAATTTAATCTGATTTAATGAGAAAGATATTTTTAATGATATTTTTTGCATTCATCGATTACACAATAATAGGAACGATTAAAAAGTAGTTTGCTGTCGCGGTTCAGCGGTAATGAGAACGAACATTTACGTACGTAAGTAATACTTATCACAGAACGAGATCAAGAATCGAAAGCGGGTTAATGCCAAACGTATCGCGGATAGTAGTTTTTTTTTTTTTTTTTTTTTTCTAGCGTCACGATTACGAGATTCTTACGATGCGATACCAAAAAAAAAAATTTCCTACTTTTGGGATAGAATCAAAATGTACAATACGCGTTCAAATAAATAAAATTCTTTCTCATTGCTATTATATATTATTATTTATAAAAACGCGCGTTTGAAGTTTGAATAATAATTTAAAAAAAAATTGAACAATTTCGAACACGCGAAACGAAAACACGTGTTTAATTCGAATAAAAAAATAATGAATGATTGTTGCTAACCTCATCGGTAATAATCGGTGTCTTGTCCATGGTATCGTTGATAGGACTAGGTGGTGAGGTAGGACTTGCACTAGGGCTGACTTGAAAACCTTTTGATTCCTTGGCAGGTCTTTGAGGTGACACTCTGGCTGGGAAGCTCAGGGTCTTCGTCCACTGGGACAAACCACGCACCATTTTCTCACCTACTACTCCTCCTCCTCCTCCTCCACCACCCCCTCCTCTTCCACCACCACCTTCCTCTACTTCTTCACCACCGTCCCTCCAACAAAACGCTTTCACTTGTATCGCACCGATTTTTACCGATTTTTTTTTATCGAGCTGTCAACGAGGACGCTCGATATCACAAATTCGCGATTAATTTTATTTAACAAAATTTCTTTAACGAAATTCAAATTTTATCGATTTCGCACTGTTCTCTTCTACGAGCGTTTCAATAAAAAGGAACGCGAACAAGAGAGAAACAGAAAAAGAAAAACAAGAGAGAGAGAGAGAGAGTAAAAAATGAGTACACGCGTAAGTGAAAATCACGGTTAATTCCGATGATCCTAACTCCGCGATGATCTTAATTCCGATGATCCGCGCGTCACCGCTCTCTCTGACAGACTGAACGCAAGCTGCTGCGAGTAGTTGGTCGTCGAGGAACAGCTGCGCCGGGCCCGCTGGACCGAGCGCTGTGATTGGTTCACTTAAGTGAGAGCGACGAATCGAGTAGTTTATCCCCCACTCCTTACCCTATGAGAAACAAGGATAGTAGACGTTTTGGGGTCCGGGCAACGGCTTTGAACGAACGAGGACAGAGATAGAAAGAGAAAGAGAATAATCCGCGGAACGGTTCTCTATCTATCTTTATTTATCTATCTCTCTCTTTCTCTCTCATACGTTTCTCTTGCATGCTACAAAATGCACGATACCGGTGTAATTTTCATGATATCCTCTTCTTCTCATACCGTCTACCACCCCACCTTCTAACTTGCTTTCTTACTTCTCTTCGTGCTTGACTCCTTCTTCTATCTTTATCTCTCTTTTTCCACATGGTCTCTCCGTTCATGATAGAAAGAGAAAGAAATAGAGAAAAAGAAAGACAAGGTGGAAGAGATGGTGAATGGACGACGAGAAGTACGCGAGCACATATATATATATGTATATGTATATGTATATGTATATGTATAAAGAAGAAGAGAATCTTCGAATGTGGCACAAGTCGATGTAACCGTGATTTTCCTCTATCAGCTACCTTCCACAAATTGTTCCTTTGAAATCATTCGTTATTTTCTTCATTATTTCTATCTCTCTCTCTCTCTTTTTATCTATCTTTCAAAATAATCTATAAGAAATCGTTATTATTTGAGAGACTATTTTTGAAAAATAATAAAAAGAAATCTCATTTTGAAATTCTTATATATTTCATTATAAAATATCAAACAATTTCTCGCAAGATTTTTCTCGATTTTAGATCGAAGGTCGATACTTTTAGCCTTTTACCCTTTCAAGTAGAAAAAGAATTTGTCTCTCTCTCTCTCTCTCTCTCTTTCTTTCTTTTTTGCTAGAGAAAGAGAGACACGCGTTTGTACATACGTACATATATATATATATATATATATATATGTTGTTATACCCTATATGATCTCGTGTTGCCAACTGCAGATTCGAGTATAAGTGGGGAGAGAAAACGACATTGCAAGGAGTTGTGTGAGACGACTTTGCACATTCACGGTGAGTTTGAACGTGTAAGTATATACGGACAGGATCTAGCCAGTTGCGGCCTTCTTCGACCTTCCCCCCACCAATCAGCCAGAGACGGGCCCCTCTTCTCGATCCTGATGTAGCAAACAGCCAGCCAGCCAGCCAGCATCGGCAGCATAGCAGCCGGTGTGTCCGGTATCGAACACCTTTCCTCGAGATTTCCTCCCATTTCAAAATCGATATTCGAATGTTATAGATCGACATTTGAAAGCGAATCCGAGAGTATGAATATCGATTAATTCTTCAATTAAATCTGTTCTTTTTTCTCTCTCTCTATATTTCTTTCGAAAACTTTTAACTTTTGTATTATCATTTGTACGATTTTTCTATATTTCATTCCGCAAAATATAATTTTTTGGATCTTTCATAAAAGAAATAGTATAATACGAAAAATAAGAATTTGAAATGATTTGTTCCTTATTTTTGGGCCCACATTGTGTATCGCGTATATACCATCTGTTACCATTATTCTTCGATTTATACCATTATTCGTGTCACGAACCCCGTAAGGCCCTAATTCTTCTTTCCACGATCGATAATAAAAGATTAAAGTTTGACGTTGTCCGTTATTACCCTCTTACCAACAAATATATCATCTATTTATAATTTATAGTGAAAAAGCAGAAGGTCGTGTACAACACAACCCTTTCAAATGATTATGTTAATTATATTGATATATACTCGAAACAAACCCCTTTTGAAAAAGATTACGATCGGAAGCAAACATATTGCTCGAATTATTATCAAAATCGATAAAAAATGAAAAGAAAGAAAGCAACATGATTTTGTTTTTGTGTGTGCGTACGAGTCAAGAGATTTGTTAGGGTTTTATGAATGATATTTAATTTACAATGGTACCTATCACCGTGTTTTAACGGAAGAGTAACAAATTCAAGATTTGAACGTATACTTTTCAAAATTCCCTTTTAAAAAGCCAAAAGGCAGCAGGTGTTCTCGAGTTAACCATGTGTGCATAACTTCCTAATTCCCCCTCCCTACCCCCTACCCCCCTACTCACTACACCCCAATTTACAATGAAATATTGTATTCCAATTCTCTTCTTGATAGAATCGAATCACAACGAGTAATACACATTTTTGCATGTACAGGTATATACGATTAATATCAACGAAGAATAACAGAAACATATAGTACGAATTTAAAACGGGAATCGAATGTTATTCGATATATTATTGCTATCGAACACTCGATACTTTTTGCTTTTACTCGCAATTCGATCGAGGTTGTTAATCTTACAAAGTAGGATGGATGGTAAGTTTTCTATGGGCATGCATATAATTGGTGCATGACGTTTCTTGTATATCAAGGGACTACTCGATGAAACTGTTAACAATCAGGTTATTACGATTGTTCTGATTTTCTTATATATATATATATATAAGAAAATCAGAACAATCGTAATAACCTGATTGTTAACAGTTTCATCGAGTAGTCCCTTGATATACAAGAAACGTCAT